ATTTATAGGTGCATAACCGTAATGCCTATTTAAAGTACGCTCATCTTTGGCGGATTCGTCAATAAAAATCAACTAGTTGGGATGATAGTTTGCCCCAATATTGGCAAGAAAAGCACTTCGGAGAAGCTCATTTCTTTTAGATGCTATCTTTTGCAGCTAATTAAAAATTAATTAATTTAAAAAATTAGGTTTAACGGTAAAGAAAAAACCTGTCATCGTACTATATTTTGCATATATTAATTTTAGCTACTTTCTTATAAAAAATACCACAGTATTTCAATGATCGCCATAAAGATGATATAGAAAACTGCTTGTTTGTATGCATTTCCATTTCTATTAGGAGTTCGTCAAGGTACCAATCTACTTTTTCATTAACAAGCCGCTTTAACATCTTTAATTCCTAATGCATAAATTTTTTTTTATGGCCAGGTTGGCCTTTAAAGGGATTTTTGATACATCCCTATTTTCTAAAGATAGATAGTATCCAATAAACAGAAGCTTTGCTTATATAAAGAATTGTGGAGATAGCTTCTTTATTATAACCTTTCGCATATAAATAAACAACTCTCCATCTAAGGTCTTCGCCAAGTTCTCATGGCATATTGATTTAGGTGAATTTTTTTTTTTAAAAAAAAAAAAAAATGCGAATTGGCGTGTTTAGGTAAATTTTTATAAACTTGAAATTCAGATAATGTTTATATACTTTTTGAGTTTTTAGTTTCAGGTATAACTCTATATTAACTTTAAATAGAATATTTTTTGCTTTTATTTATATAGTAAAAGTCTTTCGATTTTAACAGTAGTCCTACCTTGTTTTAATGCGTCACATATAGCTCTGATTTTCATGAGGGGAGCATCTTCCTGCTTTCTGAACACAAAGTAAAATTTCTAATTATGTTCTATAATTGGAAATTTTATTTTATATTCGCAACGCAGAAAAATGCTCTCCTCATTCAAATCCGGGCTACACTTAATGCACCTCTGAATCACTAAACAAAGCAGGGCAGCTATTAAAATCGAAAAAAACCCCTGGTATTCTGTATTAGCTACTTTATATACTAACTTTTACTACTTTACTAAACAATGATGATATTCCTTAAAAAAAATGTACTCTTCGTAGCAAGCTTGAAATAACAGGGGCCTTTTTCGATTTTAACAGTTGCTCTACCTTGTTTAATAGTTCGGGGGGTGCATCGAGTATAGCCCGGATTTGCATGAGAAGAGCATTTTTTTGTGTTGCGAATTTCTAATTATAGAACATAATTAGAAATTTTTGTGTTCGGAAAGCAGGAAGATGCTCCACTTATGAAAATCAGAGCTATGCGCAATGCACTAAAATAACTGTTAAAAATTAAAAAAGACACTTTGTTGCTTGAAATAAAATCTTTTTTCATAAGACTATTAATAGTACTGTATATCGGAGTTGGCAACGAACCCAATAGGGAACCTCAATGGATTTAATGTGCTTAAGGATACTTATTCATTGACCTCCACTGACTCAACGTATGCCGGTTAGGATAAGAATTATGGTAATGGTAAGGTATAATTTAGGCCAATCAATTTCGATCAGCTAATTCTGACCAAAAAATCGACATCTGAGGCAAGTGCAACATATATATATGTTGTAAGTGGAAACAAAATTCAAGTAAATTTGGAATTCTAGTCATATTAGTATTTCAGGGTAAAACTTATCATATATAAACCTCTAATCATTATTTTAACTAGAATATTCCAAATTCACTTGAATTCTGTTTTCACTCCAACATATACAGTATGATACTAATTGAGAACAAGACTTTTGAGAAAATGAATCCTGATGAATTACAAATCCTCAAGGTATATAATTCCATAATGCCTAGACCTTAATCAGAGTATTTGTGTTTGGGTGGTTTTATTTGCTGTGACGAATAATATTCATCTGTTTTCTTGTTCTAAAGTTTGTTACTACATATTAAATTTATTTATGTTCACAGATTGGCTTTCATGGCAGTGGCGATTATAATATAATTATAACCGTTTATATATACAAACTCATGAAATGTTTTAATTATGTAAGGTTGAATTTTTTAAAAAGACTTTATTAAATTAATACTATAAATTAATAATTTATTTTATTTATTTTTTTAAAAAAAGTGAATAATTATAATCATCATTATTATTATAATTATTTTTAAACTTATATCTATCATCATTGCCGTTATTATTATTATTATCATTTTTATTTTAAATGAAGAATAAATATTTTTGTTAGCCAACATATTACTCAAAATAAAGTTTTTGCTTTCTCAATAAAGTATTGGAATTGTCGCAATGATAACCGCTAGTGATGCGGTAGAATCGTCCCAATGAATTTTACAGCATACGGCCAGTTACGGTTATGACAAAAAACTTATGATCCCATTGTGTCGTATTAATAATTAATTTTCGTAACTTTAGTTAGCGATAGTATTATCAATTAAAGCGGTTCATAATAACTACGTCATAAAAATAATATAAAAAAATCATATTAAAATTGTTGCGCGCAATATATAGTTTAACAAACATATTCGAAATAACCCTATTACTAAATACCTAATTTTAACTCTAAATAATCTAACCTTAACTATAAAACCATCTAATACTCCTAATAGTTACTATAATTCTAACCCCAGCAACCAAACTCTAACCTTAAAAACCACATAACACTACTCATAGTTATCATAACATAACCCTAACAAACCTAACACTACACCTAATTATTATAATCAACACCAACTATATAACATTGTACAATGAACATTTTTTAACAATCACACTAAAAGTAAAATGCCTCCAGCACACGAAATGGCAGACATTAATCATGATGACGACTCCAGCGACAACAGAACAATGCCACCAAGACACCACGAAGATGATACTGAGATTTGATACCTGGAAAGAAAATGAGAAGTTAGATATGCAACAAAAGAGAACACCAGAGACAACAGAAAGCAAATTAAACAACGAAATCCATCTCAAAGGCAGTAAAAATAACATAACACCCACACAGACACTGATGACAACCAGACGCTGCACTTAATTGACTAGAAAGAAAAATGAGATGGTTAGATATATAGCAACAGAGAAAAACCATTAGCGAAACCATGAAATCAAACGACGATTCCACCTATTATAATGGCAAAACAGCACAAAACTGTTGCAATCGATGACTAGAAAATGCACTCAATCGTCTAGAAAAAAATTGGGGCTAGATACGGAACAACAGAGAAAAATACCTGAAATCAGAAGTGAAATCCAAGCGAAATCAGAAACAAAAAATCCACTACCCATAATGGCGACATGGCGCAAAACAAACACCTAAACCGATTCCAATAACAATACATGGCACACATCCATTAGAAGATGTATTGAGATATTAGAGCCTTTTGATCAATTATTTAACTTACATTAACACTATAAAAAAAAAAAAACCCCCTATGAATTAGATCCGTGTATGAGCTTCGTTAATCCTATCACTAGGCATTGGTAGCCTAGAAATAATAAATTTGATTAGCTAGTAACAACGTGAATGCAATTATGAGAGTTTTAAAAATATAAACAGCATATATCTAACATATAATAAAAGTCTTAGTAAGCTCTGTTAACTCTCTTGTAAGAATGTATGAATCGCAGGATCTATTTAAATAAATGCAAATGGTTTTAAAAACACAGACTGCTGCAAATTACACGTATTTTAAAAATTTACCTTGCTATAATATAAACGCTCAGCTATGTACTAGACCCTGGGTACTTAAAAAAATCTGTTCGTATAACAGCAGCTGTTATAAAAGTAAAACCACGATTTAATGCAAATATATATGTATATACGTACGTACTAGACTAGTGTATATTGTGTATAGTTATTGAACAGAGTCGCAGTTTCATGTAAGTGTATAAAAAAAAAAAAAATTAATTAGAGTCGCAAAATAAAAGCACTATTGCTACGTATATGCTAGTTGTAATTCTGTAATTGTTTAATATAACAATTATATAAATCGGGAATTAATCATCGATCTAAGTTCTTAACTAATCGAGTATTTATCAAAAAAAATTTTTTTTGTAGATCCTACTATTCTCAACCATTTCGAAAACAGTGGTAAAAAAAAAATAGATTTAGCTGATTTTAGATTTATTAGAAACAACACTATGAGAGGATCATTTGGTAGTTAAATCATCCAAATTGGATCAATATATCAAAAGCTATTAATTTTTAAAGATTTTATTATTTTTTATTAATAAAATTTTTAATAATTTTAATTTTTCTCTAATTGCAGGTTCTCTCTAAATACAGGTCAAAATACTGGTCCCAACAACATGCACTTAGAGGGAGTTGACTGTAATATAAATACTGATTAGCAGTTAAGAAGTGATATACAAATTCAGATTAGCTATGGTGCAGGAAATCTATACTCAACGGTTATACGAAGTGTTTCAATTTTTTAAATGGTTATAACTTTTTATCTAAGGGGTTTTAAAAAAATCTGACTGGTAACTTTATAGAGCTATATCAGCTCTACATATGTGCCAAATATCTTTTCAAAATCTTATCACTGTAAAGAGTTAATGCATTTTGAAAATTAAAATTTTATATGTAAATTTATAAATTTACATATAAAATTTCAATTTTCAAAACGCATCAACTCTTTACAGTGATAAGATTTTGAAAAGATATTTGGCACATATGTAGAGCTGATATAGCTCTATAAAGTTACCAGTCAGATTTTTTTAAAACCCCTTAGATAAAAAGTTATAACCATTTAAAAAATTGAAACACTTCATGTAACTGTTGAGTATATAGAAATATAATTAGCTTTAGTGGGTTTTAGTTAGTGTTTTATACAGATCAGATCTAATAGATATTTTCAAAGATCCAGATTTGATTCAAAAGTTCAGATCAGGCCCAAATATGAATTCAGATTTGTGTATAAATAGATAGATCCTTAGATTCAGCTCAGATTTAATGCTTTTATATTAACAAATTAGATTTTTATATAAATCCAAATTCAACAGATTTTAAAAATCATAGATCTGATCTGAATTCGTTAGTAAATCCAAATGGAATTTGGATCTTTGAATCTATTTTGCAAAACACTAGTTTTAGCTATAGATAAATAGTTTATATATCTGATATTTTAGTCTTAGTATTTGATATAATATATGTATTTTTTTTTTTTTTTAACGGTAACTATTTATTATATTTAAATAGTTAAGTTATTACATAGTAGTACAGTAATCTGTAGTGGTCTAGTCATTACCCTCTCCAAGTGGCAGGTCTAGAGTTTGAATCCTACTGGCAACGATTTTGAAAAATAGGCCTGTGTATAGTTGATAGCGTTCTATTGGTTGGATCTAGATTAATCTGTAACCTTGGTCACACCATCTAGTAATAGAAGCTTCGGCGCTATAAATCCAGAGAACCAGAATAACCAAAAACCCGTTTGGCAAGTCCTGAGTTTGGAGGTAGCAGTGATCTATGATGGTACCACAGAAGGGCTGAATTTGAACTGGGGCCCGAGATTAGAGAACCAAGCGACTAGGTTCTAATGGCGGAGGACATACTAGCCAAACCGCTGGGTTGTCGCACTGGAGGAAAAAGACATACGCTCCGAAAGTATAGACCAAGGGGAGGGCGTCCTTTAGACACCTAAAGCCTGGGCAGACTGACTCTCCCGAGTTGTTAGCTGGAAGTAAGGAAGGGACCGATAAAGAATTCAAGTAAGAAGACGGTTTAAATGCAGAGTATTGGGGTTGCTAGAAACCAAAACAAGGGCAAGGAGTACATAATAGACACCTAGTTAGGAAGGTTGGTGCTTGAAAAATGTCTGTAGAATAGCAGCATCCCAAAAGGTGGTGTAAGATACGAATACGGAGCGGCAGGTCGATATGTACTAATTAGGAAGAAGTTATAGAAACAAGCATGTGAATACATGTGTAAGACATATACCGCTATATTAGATTTACCTCAAGGATAAACTAGGTCTATATGGGTTAGTAAGTCCTAAGGCAGGGAGCGAAATCTAACATGGGTGATATCCAAAATCTAGCATATAAATGGTGAGGTAAACCCATTGGGTTAGGGGGCAGATAGAGGTAGTTAGAACCAGATAGTTTAAATGGGTACCCCCTAGTTGGGGTGCAGATACGGCAGATAGTATAGAATCTTTGGGCGGACTACTTAAATTAGGCACTCAAAAGGTGCACATGTGGCTTGATGTACCATCATTATAATTATATATAAAACTCTATTTATACTCTAATAAAAAGTTTTCTAGGCCAATATAGGTCATCTTAATACCAAAAAAAAAAAAAGTAGTACAGTAATCTAGTTTATATATTTCTATATATCTCCCTTGCGATATTACAGTTCCCAGACTACTACACTCTCATTTATATATAAAGCTCACTTGGCTACTCTAAGGTGCCCAAGTGTAACCATCTAGCTACTGATTTACCTTCTCATTGGCCTCTAACTTGCTAAAGAGTTTCTCTCTGAATCAACAGAAGGCCATACTCATTTATTTGCTAAAATATATGTTCTACTCATATGCCTCACCCAAACTTCAGTAACTTTATACCATAGCTTGATCTATGCACTCAGGAGTCAGAGCTAATCATTAAACTTCTTGTAACTAACTTTAGTATCTGTCATACTACCATCACCAAATTTGTACCTCAAGCTATCGTTTATGATACTACTGTAACCTGGTCCGTATTTCAAGCTACAACCTTTTCAAATTAGTTAACTATTACTTACTCTTTGCTCTTGTCAAGGTTTGCAACAACCCCAATATCCATATTTGATACTATCTTCTTACCCAGATTCTTTATTGGTCTCTCCCTTACTTCTAGCCAGCAACCTGGAAAAGTCAGTCTGTTTAGGTTTTAGATGTCTGAAAGACACCCTTCTCTTGGTATATACTTTTAGAGTATATATCCTTTTCCTCTGGTGTAACAAAAACTGGCAGTTTGGCTAGTGTGTCCTCTACTATTAAAACCTGGTTGCTTGGTTCTTCAATCTTAGGCCCCAGTTTGAATTCAGCTCTCCTGTAGTTAGGGTCTGTAATGGGCCAGGTCAGGTTGGGTATCTTTAAGCCTAAACCTAACCTGAATATATTTTACAAGCCCTAAGTTCAAGCCTAGCCTATTAAAAAGTTACAGGTTCAGGTTAGGCTGGGCTTATATCAAACTATAGCCTAGTACTGCCAGGCCTAACCCGGCTCAATAATTTATATATGGGCGGCCATCAATAGAAATAAGGCAAATTGACATTTTAAAAAAAATTAATAGCTTAACTTTCACAGCCCATATCTCGATGGATTTGAAGCTATCTTAATGATTTAATAGTCAAAAGAAAGCTTCGATTTAAGCTTTCTTTTGAATATTAAATTATAAATATAGCATCAAAATTCATTGAGTTATGAGCTGTGAAAGTTAAGCTATTAATTTTTTTTAAAATGTCAATTTGCTTTATTTCTATTGATGGCAGCCCATATATAAATTTCAAATCTAATTTAACTCAAAACACTAATTACTGTTTTGTATTCTTGATATTATTTTGAAATTTAAACATATGTGTGAAGATCTTAAAACATAACAAAATAGTAGAAATATTATTTTTTTATAACATATCAATGAATTATAATATAGTTTCGAATTAACAAACTGAAAATCAACCCATTTTTTAACCCTAAGTTCTAGATCAAATAAACTGAGATCGTTCAGAAATTTTGTATAATTAAAGAGTGTCTTGAAAAATTCACTATACATTCTATATTTTTTTAAAATTAATTTTTTATTCTCATCAAGAGATGAAAAATATTTGAAAATGAATAATGGCCTTTTATTGATTAAAAGCAGATCTTGCCAAAGAATAGGAATTAATATTAGCACCAATATCAGCTTATAAATATGCACAAGTGTAAGAAATAAATTTTATTATTTAAATTCTTGAGAAACTGGCAAAAAAAAAAAACTAGTAAAAAAAATAAAAAAAAAACTATCAAGAAAAAAAAAATTACATGTTTAATTCCTGCTCTATTCATTTACACCATTTGACTAATCTTGACTACATAATAACATCTCAGCTGATTCTGAAGTGAGATTTGACTAATAATCATTAATAATTCTTCTAGCTGTACTGAATACCTAAATACAAAATTTAGGTTTATTATTAAAATATAAATAGCAAATTAAACTTTAAAATCTACTTATAGCTTCAGATGCTACAGATGTTAACAAAATCGCAAAGATATCTTGTACTATTGAAGACATGGTAGAATATTTTGGTGCATTTGTTCTTCACCAAGCTAAAATATCAAATAT